GTTATCAGCATCCCGCCCTAATGTTTACAGACATCACCTTGGAAGATTTCCCCTTGCCTCTGGTCACCGTGACAACTTTAAACTTGTACCAGGACAAATGGCAATTTATAGACAGCAAAACAAACCAAGATCTTTTAAACCTTCCCACTTTCTATAAAACTTAACCAGTTGCCATCCATGGCCGTTCCCGAACAGCAGCCTTATTGGAGCGGGAGGGCGTCTTAAGACGTCCTGCCCCTCCCCCTGCTCGTGTGCAGTGCTCAGCGCACATAGGCGTGGGTAAGTGTTAGCAATGCCGTTGTCTCCGTCGCTGCCGGTCCCGAGATCTGCTGTGCACGGTGCGGCTGGGACCGGCGCGGCGACTCTGTTACAGGAGATCAGTACACGATCTCCCTTTCATCTCCTCTGCTGTCTCCGAATGCAGGAAGTGATGTATATTACATAATTTCCTTCATTCAGTGTCACTCCTTGGTTACAGATGCCAGTGAAAAGCTGCTGAAGCAGATCCCTGCTTCATCAGCTCCTCTGGGGGTCCCCAGGTGACATCAGGGGTCTTAGAGACCCCTGATGTCTCCATAAAGAGGATCTGTCATGTGAATTGGCTATCACATAGGGAATTTCTTAGCCCCCGATGTGATAGCAATAAAGATAAGTGTAAAAAAAAGGTTAATAAAATGAACGCATAAAAAAATTAAGCTTAAAAAAAAGTCAAATAAAAAAATTTCAAATAACACAAACATGCGTCGGGTGCGACTATGTGCGTAAACGATGATTGCGCCCATTACACCGCACATGTTACATATAACCGCGAACGTCGGAGTGAGAGCAATCATTTTAGGGCCATCAATCACTGATAACACTAAACTGATGAGCGGAAAAAGCGTTTAAAGCGTCGCCCATGGCCAATTTTGGGTGTGGTAGTTTTCTGCGATTTCGCGAGCACATGCAATTTTACGGCTTGACATGTTTAGTGTCTTTTTACCCGACGTGACCCCGTATTTTATATTTGACCAAAAAATTGGGGTGATAATACATTTTTCATAACATTTCATTTAGGATACTTTTTTTTGTTATATAGTAAAAAAAAAAAACCCGCAGTGGTGATTAAAATACCACCAAAAGAAAGCTCTATCTGTCCCCAAAAAATTGTATAAAATGTATTTCAGTACAGCGTTACATGACGGAATAAATGTCAGTCAAAGTACCGCAGCGCTAAATACTAAAAAATGGCCTGGCCAGGAAGGGGGTGTAACATCCCGGTCATCAAGTGGTTAAATAAAAAATAAGTTTTGGCTTTACATAGACTTTAATGATGAAACCAGAATTCTGATTTGTAACTATACGCCATGGGGGGGGGAGGAGTCTGCTTTTTCTGGCCTCTTTAGAATGATAGCTGGCCTGGAACAAGCATGCAGATTACAAGTACTGTATTCCAGGTCACCGACTGAGAACGAATCAATGCCATCGGATGTCCATGACACCCGGGCAGCTTTCACACTCACATGGAGTGATCATCAGTCAGCAATGGCAGCCTCCATCCCAACGCCACCTGACTCAACGCACTTCACGGAATCCGCTAGGTGGCCTGTGATTGGTCAACACGCGGCCATCCAGTTGATCTGTGATTGGTCAACCCGCGACCATACCCAGGAAGAGAGCGCGAATGTATCCCCGCCCCTCTCACAGTCAGTGCCAGCGGCAGGGGGCGGAACTTAGACCTCACTTCCGCCCCTCTCTCTTCCTAAGGAAACCCCGTGGCCGAGCTCAAGTCTCTTTCTCGGCCGGCAGCACAAGATGGCGGACGCTAAGGTGAGGGGCTCAGAAGCGGCGGCTCTTCTGGGCTGTCCGTCTCTCTTGGTCTTTCAGAGACTGGCACCGGAGTGACTGCGGGAGCGGTGTACGTGTTGCTGACCGGTCGGGGAGGGTTTGAGGCGGCGGGACTGACTGGAGAGTGCGAGGTGGGGGGAGGCCGAGGCCTGCTGGTGCTGCTCCCATGTGACAGCCTGGCGTCCACAGTGTGGGTTAGAGTCGAGGCCTGTAGCAGAGCCGTATCGGAGGGTGAAGGGGCTTCTATCAGAACTACCGTGTGTGTGTTGCTGCATGGTCGGAGGAGGGTGCATGCCGCATTTATCTGCTATCATTACAGTGCTTTTCATTGAAAGTTTATCTCTATAACACTGAAGTAGATAACGATTAGACCCACCGTAAGACTTTTTTTTATTGCTGACTGTATCCCCATAAAGGAGATTTACCACGATCAGACTACCGTTGACTACTGCCCCCCTCCTCAGATCAAAAGGTGAAATCCCGAATTAGAGTTGTCACCAGTACAAGAGGTGAGGGGAATCATCTGTCTAGGCCTGCTCACACCAGATGTGTTGGGCTTTCTCTGAGCAATTTGCCCTGTGTCCAATGTCAGTGTTCTGGTGATGTGTATGATGTGCTGTATATTCACTACAGGATTGTGATGCAGCATGGTGATGAATTAAACATTTAATAGTTTGAATAAATTAAACAAAGTATGCAATGAGCATCACACTGCTTCTGTCACAATGGCATACCAGTGGCCATACAATAGTGTGTGCTGATGTAAATGGACCTTTTAAGAGGAGATTTCTCTCCACTTTGAGAGATTTCCTCCAACTTCCTGTTGGGTCCCTGGCACAGGAAGTAAATGGAAACTTCCTCAGTGCTACTTAGATTAGTTTAAAAAAAAAAGCTATTGTAGGCCTTCTCCACTCAAGTGTAAAAAAAAAAAACCTTTGGCTATACCTACTCTAGTAGGAGTAAATTTGCCTCCCCTCCAGCCATGTGATGTCCACAAGCTCCCTTGCCAGCGCTAGCAGTGTCTGGTCATCATGTGACCCTGCACAGTCCATAATACACTGACCTATATATGTGTATATTGTCAATAAGAACAGGCAGGTAAAAATCCTTTATTGTGGGGAGATATATGTTGTCTCTTTTGCACTAAAGTCTACCTGGGTGCCCCTCTTGTTATGGAATGTTCCATTTTAGTGAAAGGGGGGATGCTGCTCGTCATGTGACTATAGGTTCTGTGATCCTCATTAGTACAAAGAGCTCTTATTGGGTGATTTTCCTGTAATGTTTTTTTGTGAACACCTGCAGCCCCCCTCCTGACATCCTCATCCAGTCCCTGGTGGATTCTGTGTTGTTGCAATTCCCGTTCCTTCCTGTGGTTGGATGCACACTTGTACTCTTTAAGTGGAGCATGCAGGTATCTATAGGCAATGAAGAGGGGCCAAACCACACAGGGCCCAACTGGGACGGGTTTTAAGAAAGTCTGCATGCCTCCCGGCAGATACACCCCATGAGAATCACTGTAGTTGGACTGCAGATCCATAAAGAACAACTTTAATGGAAATGGCTAACCCTATGGAATGTGGAATCCTATGGAAAGTCAGACCAATAGAAGATGGGTTCTGATTGATCACTGAAGAGCTTATTGGCTAGCCATATCTTTTCTTTCCATTTAGCCTAGAAGCTGAATTAAATAATCTTCAGCCATCTGCACTGCACCTGCATCTGTTGTGTTCTGACAGCTGTTACTGCCGGCTGTCAGAAAACCTGAACAGTGCCTGCATCTGATTGGATGGGGGCAGTGTTTGATGTTCTGGCTCCTGCCATTATTCATTTGAAGTATGTCAGATGGGACCTGGCAGTCAGGGCCACCCATGAGCACGTTTCTTCCAGTTATCAAGAACCGATGGAAATTCCCTCAGTGTATGGCCATACTAGGGCAGGTGTCAGATGTCTTATGGACCAAACAAGGCCCTAAAAAAATGCCCAGCAGGCCTCCAGTTGATGAATTATAATTCTTACTCATCTGCAGCTTAAGGCCCCGTTCACATATAGCGACATACCTTTTGCAGCGGATCCGCACGGCCGGGATAGCGCGACTTTCGGGGCGACGTTCCAGCGACGGTAGGGCGACCTTCCCCGTCGGGCTCCATAGAAAAAAAGTAAAATCGCGCAAAATCCGCCGAAAAAGGGTCCGGTAGAAGCGACTTGCGACCGCGACGAGCGACATGGAGTTAAGACAGCTCCATTGAATAACATTGGCCGGCGACTTCTCGCGATATCGCGTGGCAAAAATGCGCGATATCGCGGCGGAAATCGCGCAACAATTCGCTATATGTGAACGGGGCCTTATACTTCAGAAAATGTTTTATGGCCTCTCTGACATTACATATTCTAGGTTGCTATAATTCTAAGTTGTGAAGTGCTGTGATTTGTTTCTGGAATAAAGTAACATTCTACACCCCCTTTGAAGATTTTAGGGGGATTTTTATCTTGCTGCTCATGTGCTTTGATACTTCACCAGTGAAAGTTGATTGTGATTTCTTGTGAGTCAGTCTGTGTGTAGCAGTTGGCGATGGGAAGAACGTTGAGGAGTTCTTGGTTAGCTTATTGGTGTTCTCCATCAGATTTGTATTTTGTCACAAAGTTTAATGACCATGGGCGCGATTTGGCTCAGGGATGAGTTTAGCGCACTTTGATTTTTGCCGGAATCAACTGTAATGCTGCAAAATAGCCGGGTTTTATTTGCGTGACCCGATGTTTAGTTTAATTGTATATAAGAATCGCTGATATCGCAGATTCCTTTTCCTGTTTTAAACCAAGGCTGGACAAATCCCAGGATTAAAAATGAGCTGGTATTTGTTACCCTGCAGAGAGCATTGATGTGACTCAAGAGAAGATGGCAGTATCTTTCTTTGGTGTGGGCTGTGCCGTCTATACTATGAAAGGTGCGATAGTGGCACACTGGGGAGGTAGCTTGGTCCTGGGACAGAATGGTGGTGAGTTTTGTTCAGATTGTGATTTTATAAAATGTCGGCTCATGTTTGGTTGTAGTTTCTGTAGACTTTGGCACAGGGAGGGTTGCTTTTACTGGTAATTGACAAATAATGAACTTCTATTTCTTTCCCTTTTAGGCCAAGGCCAAAGCAAAGGCTCAAACTAAGGCTCCAACAAAGGCCCCTTCAAAGGCTCCGTCAACAGACGCTTCAAAGGTCCAGACAAAGGCCCCACCAAAGGTCAAGAAGCTACCCTCAGAACTAACCAAGGGAGGTCTCCCAGGATTCTACAAGAACTTGGGTGGTGGATTTAAGGCTTCAAGTCATGTAAGTTGTACATTTTGTTTTCTAATTTGTTTGAGCAAAGTGAAACTATAACCAAAACTTTTTTTGAAGGGATGGAACCTTTGTCCTGATGGATTATTTCCTTAAAGATTTGGCTGGTGTTCAATGTTAAACTTTTTAATACTGATAGGAGTGCTTTCTTTGTTAAATATGCAGCTTCTGTATCTTATTGCAGAACCTTTTCATCTGTATAGGGAATCCTGACCTTACATTTTACTGAAATCTGTATCAGCCTGTCATTGATGACCCTTGTGTTTGAGTTTTAACTGCTATGAAACCATTTCACATGCACTACCATCTGAGACGGCTGTCTAGAATAGGGCTGGAATTGTTCTACGTGTTTTGCCCAGTGTGACAGTGTCTCTCTAATGCAGGTTCTGGTCCTAGACGGAAGAGGACATCTTCTTGGTCGTCTTGCTGCTATTGTTGCTAAGCAGGTTTTGCTTGGTGAGTATTGGAACCAGGAATATGTATTTACTTTGATCTGTAGTGGTCAGTGATGAGTATGAAAGTATCTTGTTTGAGTTTTGCGACCATGAGATGACTTACATGCACTACCATCTGAGACCAACTGAACATGGTGCCATGAATAACTTAAAGCTGAACTTCAGGAAAATCACTAAATCAAACAATGAAATGTGTACAAGAATGTTCTAGCTGCCTTTTGGCTGGACAGTGAAATGAGAAGCAGCAGACAGCTTTTTTTTTTTTTTTTGTCACTGCCCTCTGGTTGGCATACTTTTTTTTGCAGTGCAGCACAACTGGCCCTTTGTGATGTTGTCTGTCTGAGCTGTGCTATACAGATATGAAGTCAACATTGGATAATTCCACTGCATGCGTTTAAGGAAGAATTCAGAGCTGCGTTGATTTTTCTGTATCTGCCTTGAGTTCAGCTTGTATAAAATGGCAGCGGGCTGACAAGTTATCTTGGTTCTTGCATTCCTTAAGTATTTTTTATTCTTTCTTTTTTTTTTTTTTAGGGCGCAAAGTGGTTGTTGTGAGATGTGAGGGTATCAACATTTCTGGCAACTTTTACCGCAACAAACGTAAGTAACACGTCTGTGTTGTGTGGGAAGAGGTTTGTGGCTGTTGGTGAATGAAATCCCTTTGCACAGAGATGTCCCCAATATATATGAAGAAGGGATGCAAGGAGTCAGGAACTTAATGGGGTTTTTGGGGCTGTATTTCATTTAGCTCTGGAGCTGTGTGGCTTCGCTGCCTTTTCACAAACTGACAGCTTAAAACAAAATGGACGTTCTGTTCCTGTGTTTTGTCTGGTGCTGGCCTCTGTTGTCGTCCTGTCACCCTTTGTTGTAGCTTTGTTCCTTTTTTTCCCCTCTAAAAGTGCAATTTGTTAAAAAGCTCAATAGACCGGACTACCCTTTAATTGCGGTATAGCTGACTCCAGTAGAAGGTTTTGTATGATGTGCGTTTTTGGTCTTTTTAAAGAATACTCTCTCCTGTGTCTTCAGTATAGACATTTCTAGATTGAGGTATTGGGTTACCGGTTTGTTAGATTGGATGATGTCATTGAAATTAACCCATTTTGATTATAATGAAACCAAAACAAGACTTTTCTTGATGGACTGGTTTGGGGTAAATATTTGCTTATTTTTTTTCTTCTGCAGTCAAGTACCTTGCTTTCCTGCGGAAACGCATGAACACAAACCCTTCCCGTGGGCCATACCACTTCAGAGCACCTAGCCGCATCTTCTGGAGGACTGTAAGAGGTAAGCATGTCAGTGACTTATGTTTTGGTTAAAGTAGTGGTTGGGTTACCTCACTAGCTTTCACTCTAGTCCACGGGGTGACACCAGTCTGAAGTGGCTCCACTAAGATCCTGGGAGGAGGGCTGGCACTGACGGGGAACTATCTAGAATTTTTACGTTTTTGGTTAACTGACACTTGAATTGTTCCCTAAAAGACAATCGCACAGCCCGGTCAGTGTTGGGTTTTTTATTTTCCTGACTAGTTCTCAGTTGTAAAAGTTGACTAGTTCTCATGTGTGTACTGATATGACTAATATGGAGGATGACTGGCTCTCAGAAATTCTAGCTGCCTGGCTCTGTCGCAGAACTGCAGCAAGAATGCAGATAGTGATGTAAAGACAGAAGCCTTTATTATTATTATAAAAGATTTATATAGTGCCAACAGTTTGCGCAGCGCTTTACTACTACTTTGGGTTGGTGACTTCTTACTGAAGGTGTCACTAAACTCAGGAGTTGGATCTTAAAAATGCACTTGGGTACCTTAGCTATCATTGCCCTGTAGATTCTGAAATCTGAATTTGTCCTTCCTCCTGGAGGGTTGCTACCTTTGTTCCCTATGGTCCATGTGACCATGGGGAACAAATCATCCTCAAATCATCTCTGAATTGTTGGTGACACTGTCGTTCCTTCTGGAGGGTGGCTACTTGTGTTCCCCATGGTCCCTGTGTGTGTTGTAGTCGCCGCTCCAAGCTCACTCCCGTGATGGATACAATCTGTACAAATCGGTAAACTAAACGTGAGATTGTATTCCATCACTGGAGTGAGCTTGGAGCGGTGACTACTTTACAACACTCACAGGAACCATGGGGGACACAAGTAGCCACCCTTGAGAAAAAAGGACACTGTCGGAACCGATTCAGAGATTTTGAGACTCTACAGCCGAGTGATACACAAATAAGATACATTTTTGTTAAAGGAGAACTATGGGGTAAATTTTTATTTTTTTCTCCCCATGGTCCTCTTTAGAGTCACATGAGGACATATACTAACGTCCTCCCGTGACCCAAAATTTGGTATAAAGCGGGCAATAGCCCACTATATACCGAGAGCTGCAGCCGGGACAGACCCTTTTGAGATCCACCCCACTGGCTGACAGTGGGCTCTGCCTATCTAGAGACCGCTATGCCTTCCCTCTCCAGTCAGCGCTGGTGGTAAATGTTTTTTTAAAAACCAAAAAAAAAGTCCCAACGTACATGCACCTAGAAACGCAAACGCATGTCGGGTGGGTCTATGCAAAAAACAAATTACACCATATGTTACATATTGCCACGAATGTCTGAGCAATAATTCCTGAGCTGTTGACACTAAACTGCTGAGAAGTAAAAGCTTTCAAGGCGTCTCCTATGGGAAATTGTGGGTATTGTCGTTTTTTTTGTGGTTTCAGATTTAAGCAATTTTATGGCTTGTTGACTATTTACCTGGCGTGACCCCATCTTTTATATTTTACCAAAAAATTGTGGTTTCTGTGCACTAAATTTCATTTTGGTGTATTTTAGCCTAACAATATTGGTTTAAACATTTGTGCAAATACCGTGCGGCATAAAAAAAAATTGCAACCAGCAATTTTTATTCTACAGGGCCTCTGCTTTCAGAAAATAATTTTCAGGGTCTGAAGCTGCTTTTCTAGCCAAAGATTCAGATTTCTATCCTATGTTCTCAAATAGTAAGAAATAGCTCTGGACAGCAAGTGGTTAATGAACAGGAAGTGGAATGCAATTTGTTCACAAAACTGAAGTTACACTTTAACATTACCCCATAGTTCAGTAGTAAGCACATTGCAACCAGCAAAGATGGCGGATGTTTGGCCTTGTAAAGGGCTTGATATGTACACATCGGGCCTGACTAGGAAGATAAATAGACGTCTAGCTGTGGGTGACACTTTTACCAAACTGTCTTATGTAAATCTGACTTGCAGTGCTCAAAATGTGAAAGCGCGCACATTGTAGTTTGTACACATTCTATGTATACAGTTTGTGATGGAATACGGATGGGGGCCGCTGCTTAACCAGTCTCCTTTTACACAGGTATGCTGCCACACAAGACAAAGCGAGGACAGGCTGCTCTGGAGCGACTCAAGGTCTTTGATGGTATCCCACCTCCTTATGATAAGGTGATTAAGATGTTAATCCCAGTAATGTGACACGGCATGCACCTCGTAGATCTTTAGTACATTGACACCATTTTCTCCCAACAGAGAAAGCGTATGGTGGTCCCTGCTGCCCTGAAGATTGTGCGCTTGAAGCCGACACGCAAGGTATTTAAATAGTCTTGGGTACCCAGAATGGTTTTATTAAGTCAGACCTGACCTGTGATGGGGTCTCATTGACTTGAGAATTGGTATAACCCAATGTTTTGTATCATTTGTAGTTTGCTCTCCTTGGCCGCCTTGCCCATGAGGTTGGCTGGAAGTACCAGGCAATCACTGCCACCCTGGAGGAGAAGAGGAAGGTAAAGGCCAAGATGCATTATTCCAAGAAGAAGTTGGTCATGGTAAGAATCCATTCTCAGTACTTTGCTGCTAGGTAGTGGCCAATATTTGTGGCTTTTCTGTTGTGGCGCACTTCCTTTTCAGATCCAAGTTGAAGTGTTACAAACATAATGTTTGCTTCAGAATAGAACTGCATGGGCAATATTTTTTGCAATTGGAATGCACAGCATTGCGGTATCATGCGTTTCGGTACAGAAGAGTTTGGGGTGCCATTGAAATGAGTAGAACTGCAATGAACCTCCCGCACCAGAATTTGGCAGCCCAAAACTGACTTCATTTTTTTATTTGAAGGCAGAGAAGCTTTATTTCTTTAACTTGTTACGATTCAAGGTTTTTTCTCTTTACTGTTAGCGTTTAGGGAAATATTAAAAGACCCCTGATATTTTTATTTTTTTAAATTTCAAAATGGAAAGAAGTCAATATATTTCTGCAGCCGGAGCACCGAACAGGAGGCACTCGGTAAAGGGGCTTCCTGCCTATTTGAGGAGATGGTAAAACAGCTGTCTACAATCGTGAATGAACAGGAAGTGATGTGTAGAGCGCTGTCTTCATTCATAATTGAGGACACAGTATCTGAATTCGATGTTGTTAGCAAGTAACGAGTAATCAATACTGTTCACTGCTCTGTAAATATTTCACATGTTTACAGATCCTCCGCTCTCCATCCTGCGGTGCTCCACCCCCTCGAGGTGCTCCATCCTGTCTCCACCAATGATTTTTCCTCCCTGCTGTAGCAGTCTGTCCCCACCGAACCCCTCTGCCGATACAGGTGGGGGAGAACAGCGGGCATCAGAGGGGACACCAACTGGCTTCCAGTGTGGAGGGGAGAGCTGCAAAGTGGCGAGAGGGGGATTGGGGGGAGCGCTCCCCTCCACAAGGCACTGGCTGCAGGGGTCTGTCCCTCCCCCTGATCCTTGCTGGGAGTAGAGGGCTGAGCACAGATCAACTAATCGATAATGGGAATAGTTGACTATTTTATTGACAATCGATTCGTTGCTTCAGCCCTACAAACTAGCATCCCCAATAGCCTGCTAAATAAGTTTATTGTTGGACTACACTGTCTGCAGTACTTAGGCAGCCTTGGGGAAGATGTACTTTCTTCACATCACCCGCTCCTCCTCACTACCTGTCCATTCACAAAATGTCCTACCTTTGTCAAAAATTATAAGGCATTCTGGGATTGGAGAGATGTCATATCCCCACCCTCTGCTGGTCTAGCATTATATGTAATGGTGTCAGATCGCCAGCGAGCGGTGGAAGCCTGCGGGAGCGAGTAATAAGGAACATGTCTGCTTATTCCTGACGCCCTAGACGAAGAACATTGAAACCTTGCAGTGCTGCAGGAGGTCCCGCCTCAAGAGTCACTTATTTTTGCGTAACTTTGAATTCAGGGTGCATGCTGAAATCACAATGCATCTTGTTTGATATTACTGTCTCAAAGACTAAACCAGTGTAACATATGGATCGAGTGTCATCATTACTTGCTGTTAGTGACGTGCTGTTGAGAGAAATGCGATTTGAGATGCAATGAAAAGGTTGCTCTGTCTACATGTGGTTTGTGCCTGCGTCATTGTATCTTTACTTTTGTTTTTCAGAAATTGAAGAAGCAAGCAGAGATAAACGTTGAAAGTAAAATTGCGCAATACACAAACGTCCTGAAGAAATACGGTGTCCTCGTTTAATTATGCTCACAGACCTGGAATAAAAATGTTTAACAAAAAACTTCTTGTTTGAGTGGAGCAACTTCTTGTGTGCAGTGTTTGTGTTGAGAATCGTATACCTGAGAACACCGCAAGGCACAAAACTTTACAGAGATGGAGATGTGGCCGTGTTTGACAGCAACATTTAGTGTTAAAGGAGAACTGACGTGAGTGAAAAAATCACTCATCCTCATAGTTATAGCCGACATGACAATGAAGCTGTCACAGGTCGGCTTTATTCGGGAAGTGAGTGAACGCATACCTCGCTCACTACTTTATCTCCCTGCAGAGATCCGTGACTGTCAAGTCACAGTTCCCCACAGGGATATCTCCCCTCTCCGATCCTCCAGCACTGAGTGGAGGAATGGATGGGGAAGGGGCGGGTACAGCTGGCTCTGCCTCTAGATAGGCCGAGCCAGCCGTCACTCACGCAGCTGGGTGGATCTTGACAGTAATGTCGGAATCTGTCCCGGCTGCGGCGGTTTCAGTATACCACGAGCTGTAGCTCGGGATATACTGAGCTTTGAGTCACAGGAGGAGATATTAGAGATGCCTTGAGTATATCCTTGAACACTAAAGATGACTAAAGGTCATCTCAGGGACTTTACAGAAGACAAGTGGTTGTCTACTTTTAAATGGAAAACATTTACCATCTGATCTGCACCATGATGGTTGTCGGTGGAACATGTTTTCGGGGGGGCTGGAGGACGAGCTTCAGCCACATGGAAGAGTCCTCGTGAACATTGTCAGAAAAAAAAATACTGCTTTTAGTCCTTAAAGCGGCTCTGGGTAATATATTTGCTGCCTTCCGCCAATCTTTACTCAAAAATGGTCCTGCCCAATTCCTCTCCACATTACACATGCATGTGACCCTGTTTATTCCTGTGGGTTAGTTTGTACTCTGCAGGACTGCTGAAGGCAGCAAGGAGTACAGTGTCGTGCATGGACAGTATGAAGAGCTGGCTGAGACTGTTGGGAAAGATTGGATTGAGGAGGAGGTACGATCATCATCTCTGGTGAACTGCACTTGGAGGGTGGAGCGTTTAGTAACCACTTCATGCAGGTGGCTATTGATGTCCTAAACTGGTTATACCAAGAACACGGCTATTACAGCTGTCTTCTTGGTACTGTTGTAAACAGCCTGCGATGGCTGTGTTGGTACAAGCGATCCTTGTACTGAGCGGCAGTGTGCCCTCTGCAGCTACCTCGGGCTCCGCTGTCCCCTGTGAGGGTGGGTCTCACTGCATCGATTGGAGGGAGATTGGCAAGCTGCTAGCCACTGATCACTGGACCCGGAAGTGATTTGTATTACATGACTTCCGGTGTCACTGCACATTTTCCGGCTCCTAGAGCCAGGAGAAGACGCTAGTGAAGCAGATCTCTGCTTCGTCGGCTTCTTTGGGGTGACTGGTCTGACAGACCTCTGTCTCCATCAAGTATAAAAATCTAACCTTGCAGCATGCCATCTGCGATGTTGCTTTGCGTGATGCTGGCAAGATCGCCCCTGGTTGGTAGAGCTGGCTGGAGATGTGTATGGCCCTTATACCCGCCTTTTAGCAACCTGGGATACTTTGACTGGAAAGAAGGTGGCGGCAATGCCATGGCCATGTGACCCAAATAGAAGCTGCCTAAGGAAACGGCCTCCGTCTGCTTCATTATAGGTATGGCCCTGCACCTCTCGACAACTGATTGGGTTCAGAGGTGTGCTGGTGGTTAAGAGTATTGCGCAGGCTTGGGCAAACTGGGTTCACGCCAAGCTCAGCCTCACTAGTTCTTACTGAAACAAGTGTCCCTATTAAAAATATTTTCCTGTTCTTGAGGATTGTGTTTGGTTTTACCTTTCCCTAATGTACTTTCAACTCTTCGTACTTGGATCACATAGAAACAGCCAACATGTTTTGGGGGGGACACAACTCCCCCTTAATCAGGGTTAACTTTTAACTAATACCGGTTGCATTGGTTTTGATCTCTTGTCAGATATACAGTGTTTTTCTCTCTCCCCTGAGCAAACTAAAGAGTGAAGCTGATTGGTTGCCATTGGCAACTGCTACAGATATAGAGAACAATAAAAACCTCAACATGCAACCCATCACCACTATATCCAGAATTAGGAAAATCCACTTTGATAATGTCCTCTCTATTGACTTGGATGCATTTTGCAGATGTGTCCAGATTTTTCCCTGCATTGTATGGAAATAACTGATCAATTTCACTTCTCTCCTTCTCTCCCTCAGCCACCTAGGCATGTGCCTCTGAAGGTCCCTTCACTGTTCTTTCATAGAAGATAAAAGTATGAAGTAATCACACAAAAAGATCATTTATACTGTAAAACTTTCAAAATAATTTATTTGTTAATAGGTGAACACCAGTAAAGCTGTTATCAGTGCACATTATAAATACCTATGACAAGAAGAACAATGGGTACAATCTGCGTGAACACAAATCTGGTGTTTTTCCTCAAGAAGAAACACAGATTAAAAAAAAATCAAATTAAGAATAAGAAAAAATAAAAGTGTATAATTAGCACCAGAGATGTAAGAAGAGGTATATACAAGAGAGAATGCTTATAATAAGCACATTTCAGACATTTAGCATCTTTGAAAAATTAATATAATTTATACCAACTCTTACGTGTATAGATACAGTGCATGAATAGACCAATATGAATCAAAATACAAATAATTAGAAATACTACAAAACAAAAAAAGATCAAATGCTGGTCATATAAAAAATATTGTTAGCCATTCATATAAAACACTGACGGAAAATAATGTTGCATACCAAAAAAAATAAATCTAGACTTTCTTCAGATGTTAATTCATTCGAGTTCACAAGGCATAACGGAGCGTGTGTTAATAACCGAGCTCCCTGTGTAAGGATGCGATGGAAGAAATAAAGTTATCTTTTCAGGTGTTTTTAGAAACGGATGGACGGGCGCTTGAAACAAACTTTTTGTTCCTCCAGAGGGAGCAGCAAGGGGTGGAGATGGCTGGAGGAACTTATGTTTGCAACCTACGGCCAAAATTCTCCACCTAAAATGACATGTATAGGTTTTGGATAGACGACTACTTCTGACATTTAATGTTTATCGACACTTTTTCTTTTTGATCATCTTTTTCTTTTCTCGTGTTTCAAAATGTAAAAAAAAGAATTTTGTTTCTGTCTTCAGGATTTTCTAATGGGTAGCCTTCCAGATATATGTAACACCCTGTTACCCCATACTTCTCTTTTACTAGAGATCGTAGTAAGTGTTTTTCCCCATAGTTCTCTTAAGGGTCACGGGAGGACATGTACTAGCGTCCTCCCGTGACCCAAAGTTCAGTATATCGCGAGCTACAGCTTGCGGTATACTGAGACCGCCGCAACCGGGACAGATCCCCACAATACTGTGGAGATTCACCCAGCTGCGTGAGTGACAGCTGGCTCTGCCTATCTAGAGGCAGAGCCAGCTGTATCCGCCCCCTCCCCGGTCCAATCCTCCAGTAAGCGCTGGCGGGGAGGGGGTGAATCCCTGCAGGGAGCTGTGACTGATGGTTCTCTGCAGGGAGATGATCGAGAAGTGAGCGAGCGACGATATCTGTTCACTCACTTCCCGACCTATTGAGCCGACGTGTGACAGTTTCATTGTCACACGTCGGCTCGAACTATGAGGATGAGTGATTTTCACTCACCTCATAGTTCTCCTTTTTATCCTGCTCATGTTGTAGCTGGGAGTAATTAGAAACACTTAGCTGGACTGATTCTTCAATGTTGATGTCTCACCATTCATCCACTGTAAGTAGGGGAGGCTTTTTTTGTTCTTTAGAACTAAAAGCTACTGGGTAAGTGGTGAAATGTCTTCAGCATTGTAGAACAAGTCCAGTTGAGTTTGACTAACGACTGTCACTCACTTTATGGTTTTCCCTCTATAGTGGATGTTGAGGTGTCCCCATAATGACCCAAATCTTGTAAAAATGTGCTTTGAATATTTACAGGGTTATTCACGAAAGGATGAAGAGTTTGGAGAAGTGAACAATCTAGGACAACATTGCTGAACTAGGAAAATATTTCCCAAGCAGCTAAGTTGGCCTTAGGTTGTTCACTTCTCCCGCCTTCTCCAAACCCTTCACCCTTTCGTGAATAACCCTGTCAGTGTTTGTTCATCTGTCAACTTTTGTAACTGATGAACTGCAATATAATCCAAGTAATCATATTGTTTTATAGCAAACCCAAAATGAGATTGTGTTCCAGGAAAACCTGGGTAGGGCTGAGGGTGGCAGCTAAGTGAAACTTGGTATATAAGCCATCATCAGTTATATCTACCAGCAGACAAGCATTAAAAAGGACAAATCAGATGTATGAATTGAAGCACCACACCAATTACAATTGTCCAGATACCGGCCGCCAAACCAGCCACTGAAGTACTCTCCATACAACACAATCACTGATGGAAGGGGTGTGTTTTGGACCCCAGAAATGCTTTTGCTACACTACTTGAATGCCCCCGACTCTAATGGAATAAAGCGGCATGGCCACTCTGCTGCACAATGTTTGCAGTGTGCCCTCCGCACCCATTACAGCCAGAGAATCCCAGGTTGCTAAGAGGCGGGCATGGAATTGGCTATACACAGAAGAATGACCAAAAGCATTCTAGATACTGTATGTGTGATGGAAGCTTTAAAAAGTTTAAGAATCCAGAGGGTGGCTCAGCCCATTGCTCTCCAACTACAATATCACTTTTAGGTTGACTGACCCAAGTCTAACTGCAACCAACATGTTGTCCTGGTCCCGTCCTGATGTCAACTGCTCCCCCCACTAGGAAAATCTCACCAATCTCATTCCACATTCTAGTTGAATCAAGCTTTGAGGACTAGAAGGGAAGGCCTTGTGTGGTTATATTTAGGTATTTCAGCAGCTGGTCAGTATTATAAGGAAAGCTGTTTTGATCTATAACCCTTTTGTCCAGCATATAGCTGAGCAGATGTCATTTGCATGGCATTGCCACCACTAGAGGGCAATGAGGAGCATAGGAATTGCATGG